AGAGCATGAAGTTGTTCCAAAACATGGAGGAGCTGGGAGTCGAGCAGGGCGTGAAGTCATACGACACTCTGTTTCAGGTAATCATGCGCAGGGGCCGGTACACGATGGCCAAGAGGTACTTCAACAAGATGCTGGCTGAAGGCATTGAGCTGACCCATCACACTTTCAATATCTTGTTATGGGGATTTTTTCTCTCGGGAAAAGTCGGGACGACTAATCGATTTTTCTAGAAAACGAAGAGTCGTGATATTGTGCCCGATTTGGTGACATACAACACGTTGATCAACGGTTACTACCGTGTCTAGAAAATCGAGGAGGCAGAGAAATATTTCGTCGAGATGAAGGGGAGGAACATTGAACCGAATGTGATTACATACACAACTCTGATCCAAGGTTATGTTTCGGTCGAGCGGGTTGAGTATGCATTGAGATTGTTGGAGGAGATGAAGGGATTTGGAATCAAGCTGAATGCAGTCACTTACTTGACACTTTTGCTCGGTATGTGTGATGTTGAGAAATGCCAGAGGCTCGGACTGTGCTGAAGGAGATGGTGGCTTAAGTATATTCAGCCGAAAGATTACTCGATTTTTATGAGGCTGATGTTCAGTCAGTGCAAGGCGGGTCACTTGGATGCTGCTTTAGATGTTCTGAAGGCTATGATTAAGTTGAGTGTGCCTACACAGGCTGGGCACTATAGAAAAGTGTGTTTAAAATATAAGAGCATTGTATAACTTATAATTTTAATACTATATAGATATAAATAACTTTTAATATTTTATTTATGCAATACTAGTTATACTCACACACTAATCATTTATTTAGATGAATAATGATAATAATAATAATAATAATAATAATAATAATAATAATAATAATAATAATAATAATAATAATAGTGGTAAATTCAGTTTACCCTAAAACCCATTTGAAGCAGAGCAGAAAATCCAGTCTGTCCCAAAACCCTATCTCTACCACTCAAATCTCTCATAAAAAAATTCAACGCTCTTTACCCCACTCACCGGCCGTGAAGCCGAGCAAAAATGGCGTCTTTAGCCGCAACAAGACGAATCCATTTGAATCCAAGCCTCTTCAAGCTCTCTTCCCCAATTTCCCTCAAATCCCTCTTCTTCTCCACCTCGCTCGCCTCCCAATTCCCAAATCCTACCTCCGATGAAG